TGGACATCCCATTGGAGTGGAGAACTCATAAGTCCTACGCACAAAAGAGACAAACTGGGGTGGAGAAGTCAATCATTGGTCCATTCTCCTTTTCGATATCCGGGCAGGAACTGGACATCCCATCGGCGGACTGTTGAAAATGTCCAAGTTGCAGGCTGGGAAACGAGCCCTACTCGAGAGGAGGTGTCAAAACGCTTTCCCTGACAGGTCCTGAAAATCTTTCTCATCTCGGATCTCGACATGCTGTGTGGCGAGGAGGGAATTCCCCACAAACAACCCACAAAGAGCATCACATTCTGGAACCAGTGCCCAAACTCGGTCTGTGGGTTTTACCCCAACAGCAAGTGGCAGAGCCAAAAAAGACGATGACCCGATTCAGGGCCTGGCTTGCCGAGCGCCCTGCAAAACCACACTCCAACGAAAGGGCATACTCACACCGCTACCCTAAAACCACAAAGTATGCACATTTGGGAAAGTGGAGGCCAAGTCCTACTGGCGGTAGGAATGGTACAGCAACAAGGACCTTTCTTGCGTGTGACACGACTTTCAAGACATAGATAGCGACGAAGTATCGTAGTGGAGAGAATTCCGTGATTGATATTTCTCGCACTGTCGTTAATTGTCCATTTGTGTGGTAGGGTTTCCATCTAAGAGGGGTTTTCATTCCTGACGGGTCTGTTGATGAGTCAGGAAAACCGGTTCGGAAACGGGTAAGTGCCTGAAAATTTGAAAAAACTGCCTGCAGTTGTGTCAGAGTGAGGCAGCAGTGTCAATCTGAGGCTGTATCCCGCCTGTGTTGTGGACAAAGGGCCTCACTCCACTGCTCTCCACATGTGCAAAACGAGAGTGAATCTTCGGCTAGAACATGGAAAGGTACACCTCCATGATTTTTGTCTTTTGTGCATGTAGAGGGTAGTGGAGTGACACCCATACTGTAATGCTAAGGCCAGGGTGGGGCTTTAGGCACGCACACAACCAACACTGTACTATGTCATGCATTTGGACTTATTCTGGACCTAATACATTAAAAAAGTTGAACTTGTCCTACTTTGGTGATAAAAGCTTTGCAATATTGTCACACCCCGCCGCACACGGTGGCACCCTGCCACACTGGTCTAGTAATCAAAGCCAAGCCCATGCTAGTGGGACTTGGCCCTGGGATTTGTGGTTTCAGGCATGCCAGTGGTCACACTGCTTTACTATTACTGATATGACAAGGTAGGGGCCTTGTGGAGAAATGGGGATTTGGTGCTTCTCTGGTCACACAGGGCCACCCCTAAACTGTGCAGATTTCGTTTTCTTTGGTATCATTTTTTTATTTGGACAAATGGGAATTTGGTGTTTCTCTGGTCACACAGGGGCACCCCTAAACTGTGCAGATTTCTTTTCTCTGTTATCATTTTTTTTTTATTTGTCTTTGGCACATCTTCACGGCCTAATCTTGCACGAACTTTTGTGAATGAATTTTGGCCAATTTTCAAAGAAAATTTGGAAAATTAAATAAGCATCTGCTGTCTCCGGCATCAGCTGTCAGGCACAGAGAGAGAGAGAGAGAGAGAGAGAGAGAGAGAGAGAGAGAGAGAGAGAGAGAGAGAGAGAGAGAGAGAGAGAGAGAGAGACATGCTTCGGCTAAGCTGTCTGGGACGTCGTTACTCCCGATGGAAGGTCTGTCGACTCAGTGGACATTGTACTGCTTTACCTCCCCCAGCTACGATTATGCAGTAATACAAAAACTTACAAATGCAATCGGAGAGTTTTGATAAGAAGAGATGTCCTGATACAAACAGATCGTCACCACGGATCCTTGTTATTTCGCACAGACTCCATTGGCCATCCTACGGAGCCAGTGTCACCTCTTCTTTCCCCCTCCTGGTCTCCCATAACCTCACGCTCTTCTCCGCAGTTCGTCGGGCCAGCCTGCAAGGGGATACTTCTGAGTCCTCCGGGCATTCCTTCAACTATCCATTCGAGGGCCCTACCCATACTGGGACTCCATCACCGCATGCACATTCAGCAAAGGAAGTCCCTGGTGTGA